CACAACACACACACACACACACACACACACACACACACACACATACGCACACACACACCAGCAAGCAGACTATCAAACCGACACGTGCACTGACAAGAGTGTTCAGGTTGGTGTGATGACGTGTCTTGATTAATCAGAAGTCTTAATATTTTATTCACAGAAAAACTGGATTATCCCATCCATGGCAAATCCTTCTTCATACATACTTTGTATTTGTGTGTCTCGACGCAGTGGAATCAGGCGCTCGTCAATTTTGGGGCATACTGAGTTACTGGCATCTCCTTAAAGCTTGCTCTTTTGTCTCGCTTTCAATGAAAATATTACCTATCTATCTTCAATAGAAGTGGAGATATTTCTGGATTGAAGGAAGTGGGGATGACCTGGTTTCAGAGGTAAAACTAGCGAGAAAATGACCGCCAAAGCTCGATAAATTTCAAAGCTGGAGAGTCCGTGGAAACAATTAATTTACATTTTTTTGTGGCTTTAATCAACGTTTTTCGGTAAAAATTCTCACAGGTGTTTGTTTCTAAATTGTCATAAAAGGTGTTAAGCCAAAAAACAAAAATTTGATAAAAATTGTCAAACCGGGAAAAAATGCGATTTTCTTCGATTTCATTATTTTGACGAGCGCCTGATTTCACCACATTGCCTCACCTTTGCACTTTACACACTTGAAAGAGAAGATCTGAAGAGGCAGAGGACATGGAAAGGAGATGAGAGTAGAGTAGAGAAACGATACTGGTGGAATAAGAGTCTACTAACGTTCTTGAAGTGGTGTAGGCGTCCATTGTTGGAACGTTGGTACAGACGATAGAAGTGAAAAAAAAACAAAATAATCTTATCCTTTGGGTGTGGGGGGGGGGGTAATGGAGCAGAAGGGTTGTGTTGTTTGAGAGTAATTACTTTAAGTTGAAGCACGGAGGTAGTCTCTTTGTGGGTACTAGAAAGAATTAACAGTGGGATCAAAAGTCGGTTAGAAATTGGCCAACAAAATTTTTAAAGGGCGGGGTTGCAGGCATTCATTAATGGCAAATCTATTAAGAATAGAAACAGTGAAAATACTGGGATTCAGACCATTTTTATTTTTAAAAGAAAGTGAAGAGTCATGGGAGTACGAGTAAGTTAGCTGAGTAAGAAAAACTAAGGTTTTATTGTACATGATTGTATTCTCATAGCATACACTTGTGCCATTCTTTGTTATGGCAGCACGGAGCCCTGTGTTTTAACTTTGGTGTGTTGCTCACACACTCACAGCTCACCTTTAGTACTGCAGATTACCCACCTGTGAAGCTTCACACTGTCATTGTTTGGTGTTTGTGCCCCTACTGCTATCGCAATCTCGTATTTGAATGTCATGTACACTTTATTTCTTTCTCATGGAATTTTTTTGGGACACACTGATACGGACTGCTCCTACTCCCATCTTTTCAGTGTTTCTGTCATCCTAATCTTTTACCAGGTGAAATGGGGCTTTAGCCCTGCCAATTCACGGTATGTCAATCATAGTCAATGTATGCAAGTTTTACTTCTCAACAATTATGACTCTCAACAGATGAATTATATATCAAGCTGTTGAAGGAAGCTGGGTGCAAGTGGCAACGTGCCAGTTTATTTCCCGAATGCTTTGAAAGAAATCAGTTGCCAAGGAAATTAAATAACTAAGAGGCATTCTTCCTTAAACAAAACAAAAAAAGAAGATCAGCTCAGTCACAGAGTGGATTTTTTTTTTTTAAACAGGTCATCATCCTTGCATAACACGTGTTACTGCATTTTTGCTTTTCATGGAGTGGCCCAAGTGACAATGTGGTTACTGTTGATGCTTGTAACAAGTGTGAATTTTCACGTCATTTTCTGCTATTGTGCATTTTTTTTTCAGTACACACACAAAGTGTGTCAATGAAGTAGCAAAGAAGGGTACCAAATAATGTGTTCAGGCAATACGAGTGCTTGTACTTGTGCCATATGTATTTAATTATGATATATATATGTGGAATGTAAAGTGAAGTCTCTTCATACGGATTCATACAAATATCTTGGCCTTACAATAGACAACAAATTTACATGGCAAAACCACGTAAACAATATCGTTAAAAAAGTAAATCAGAGGCTGTACTTTCTGAGGAAACTAAAGTCTTTCAATCTGAATCCATCCATCCTTCAGATTTTCTACACCACCACAATAGAAACTTTGATCAATTTTGGAATCACTTGCTATGGTAGCAATCTGGGAAGGCAGCACATTATAAAACTAAATAAGTTGATAAAAAAGGCATCAAGAACAATTGATAGAGACCTAAGTAACTTTGAATATCTGCACAAGACAAACGTTCTAAAAAAGGCGGAAATAATGCTTAGTGACCATAGCCACCCACTGACATCGGAATTTCAACTATCGACCCGCAGTAAACGATACATTTCCAAAAAAGCAAGAACAGACAGATATAGAAATTCATTCGTACCAACTGCAGTGAGGTTACTGAACACACAGTGCTACAAATGAAACAGAGAGAGAGAGAGAGAGAATGAATGTGTTACGGAGCGAGTTGTCCCAGCCCGTGAGACATGTATTTACTTGGCATAATGTCCTGTCTTGTTGTGCGTTTGCGTGAGTGCACCTTTAAGTCTAACCTTTGTAACGTCTACTGCCATTGTTAACGACCAAGACAAATTTCTCCCTGCGAGATAAATAAAGATTGTCATTGTCATTGTTCTCTTTTGATTTCATCTATTTTCCTGGTACGTATGGTTGTTGTCATGTTTATGTCTTTTATTCATACTTGATCGGATATGAAGGAAAATTCTTTTTTATTTCATCTGCAGGCATGCTGAGAAAGAAAGTACTTGTTCTTGACTTAGACGAGACGTTAATTCATTCACATCATGACGGCGTTTTACGACAAGTTAAACCAGGCACCCCTCCAGACTTTGTTCTACGGGTTTGTAAAAAGATGTTGTCACCAGTCCTTGTGTGTGTTTCTGTGGTGCTCTCAGTGTGGCCACATCTCTCCTCCTTTTTTTGACTTGTATGTTACGATCTAGATACACCTCAAATCTTCGGCACTTGTATGACCAAATTGTGTTGCAAGTGCTGTAACACTTACTAAACCTATACCGAGAAATTTTGTGGTATGCTTTATTTTGTTTCAGTCCAGAGTATTGTCTTGGATAGAGGGGGTGGGGGGTTTCCAAAGGTTTTGAACAGTGTTTGGCATTGGAACGACAGGACCCCCCCCCCCCCCCCCCCCCCCCCAGGGCGGTGCTACTGACTGAAGTGTCTTTAGGCCATTCCCATAGGGGAGGACATTTACATCTCGAGTTCTTACACTCAGTAGGATTGTAATTGTAATTGGGCTTGTTCATCTATGTCGCGCTCATATCTGTGCATGAACTGCAACAGGGAACTGTTACTTTTTCTTTCCTAATCCTTAATATCGTCATTTTCCTCTACTCCTTTTGTATGCTTGTCACTCTCTTGTGACCCGCTATTTCCGGGGTGCCTTGACAGTCGAAGCAGACTTTGTACTGTTGAAGCTAGAGAGGCGAGCAGAGTAAGTCTGATTCCCTGTAAGGATTTTTCTGTTGACATCCAACCCTTGGCACTCGTATGACCTTATGCAGTTACATACGCCGTAAAACCTCTACTTAAAAACACCTGGGAACCACAAGTGTCCGTCAGTTTTGTACATTTGATCATAATGTTGGCTCAGTGGTAGTTTTGACATAACAACACTTGGTTTTTGCTGACTAGTCTTTGAAAAGGTGTCTTATTTCATTACCATCAGTCCACAACCACATCTATTTTTTGGGGGGATGGGTTTCCAGAAAAGGCCTTGATTCAAATAAAAGACACTGAGGACGGTTTTTACAGTATAGTTTTGTTATGTTATTGTTTCCATTCTAATGTCTTATTAAAAATTAATGAATGCCCTAGTCATTGTGTTGATCTTAGCACTCTTTTTCTTTAATTTTCTCCAAACTTCAAATAAATGCTTTATGTACTTGTTGAATACTGTTGACGATTTACTCTTTGTTATTCCTCCACAGGTTACAATTGACAGGCATCCTGTTCGATTTTTTGTTCACAAGCGGCCACATGTTGATTTCTTTTTAGAAGTAGTAAGTAAAGTGCAGTTGAGTGCGCACATGGCAAAATCAGCGGGATGCAGATATCTTTTCGTTTTGTTCGAGGTTTGCTCTGTGCTTGTTTTAAATGCAAAGAATGTAAACGTATACCTAAAAATTTGGGACCTGAAAAATCTGTTCGCTATGTGTGTTCTTTACTGTGTTTCTCTTTCAGACTTTGATAGTTTTTTTTTAAAGTTTGAAGACTTTTTTAGAATGGTTTATTTGCCTTTATTGTTACTTTAAAATTAACAATAGGAAAACTTTTGCTTTGAAAGTAATTCACTTTGTTTTTAGAATGTTATAAATAATGATACCTGTTATGATAATAATAAGAATGCATATAATGCCTAATTCCTAGAAAGTTTTAAGTGCTGTACAATGCAGAATTGTTATTCAACTTAACTTTCCATCAAAAGACTAAAATTGCACAATGTTGGACTGTTTAACAACACACCCGCCCATGCACACACACACACACACGCACATTCTCACATACAAAAACTATTGGCAGAGGAAAGTGTTGAACAAAAATGTGTGTTTTTCAACATTTCTTATTAATAAACTACAACACTGCAAAGAACTAGATCATGAATTTTTAACTTTGTAATTTTCTTTCCCAGGTAAGTCAGTGGTATGAGCTGGTGGTGTTCACAGCTAGTATGGAAATATACGGCGCTGCAGTCGCTGATAAACTTGACGGTGGGAAGAATATACTCAGGAGACGCTACTATAGGCAGGTGGGTGCTTGCTTAATTAAGGATTTGGATACTGTGTGTTGTATCTTTGTAGATATTTTACTGTTGTTGAGCTTCACATTCTCAGGGGAAGACAAAATCTGTTGGCGGCGGGGATGTGTGTATGTTTTAGAATTTGTGGGTGGTTGTCATTTTTTTATGTGTGTGAATACAAAAAATATTTTCAACAGAAAAAAATGTACATTAAAGCAAATTAAAAATAGGTGGTGAAGATAAGCCTGTGGTGTTGTAGGTCAAGGTGAAACTAGTGTGCCTTACTGTCTTAAATTAAAATAATTTCATTATGGTCTGCTCTTATCAGTGTCTATCAGGTTGTTTTAAAACAAAGAAAAATGTGTAGACTTAAATTCTGGGCAAGAATCTTTCTATTTTCTTTATTTTCAGATTAAGATTTCTGTGTTTATTTTATTTTAGTCCCTTTTGTTTATTTCTTTTCTTTTTCCCTTTTTTAAAAAATCAAAGTTTTTTTATGAAGAAATGTTTTTTGGGGGAGTTTTTAAAATTTTAAATGGTATGTCATGCTGTCCCTTTGCATTTTGATTTGTGTCATGACGAGGTGGAATCGGGCACTCGTCTGTTTTTGGGCATGTTGAGTTATTGAAATCGTCAGAAAACTTATTCATTTGCCTTGCTTTCAGTGAAAAAAATACTCATCTCTCTTGAATAGAAGTCAAGATATTTGCAATTTAAGGGGTGGGGTCGCCTGCCTTCAGAGGTGGAATTAGCGAGAAAATGCCCGCCAAAGTTTGTAACCCCAATAGCAGAAGTCCTAAAAAACTGAAAGATGACATGTTCTGTGACTTTAATCTTCGTTTTTTTCCAGTAAAATTGACATGCAAATGTGTTTTTATTTGGACTTTAAAGGAGTTGAGCCCCCAAAAAAAAATTTGAAGAAAAATTGCGGTTGTTACTCCGATTTCATTATTTTGACGAGCGCCTGATTTCACCAAGATGCCTCACATTTCATTATTTTTTTCCTCTCTTCCTCAGCATTGTAACCTGGACATGGGTAGCTACACAAAAGACTTGTCAGCCATAAACCCAGACCTATCCAGCATTTTCATTCTAGATAATTCACCAGTCGCATACCGCATGTTTCCAGGTGAGATTTTTAAAAATATGTGTGTCTTATGTATGCTTATTGTAATGATCCTTTTCGTGGAGAATACCAGAAGGAAGGTGGTAAGACAACCTATGATAACAGATTATTGTAGTGTAAAGCGCATAGAGCTTGCTGTAGAGCGGGGTAATGAGCTGTACAAATGCTATTTATTATTATAACATCAGAGCATGCCACTGACTGAAGTGTCTTTAAGCCATTCCCAAAGGGGGGGGACATTTCTCGTTCTTATGCACAGTTAAGTAGAATTATAAATGGGCTGATTCAACAATGTCATGCTCATAATTGTGCCTGAACTACGATAGGAAACTTCTGCTTTTTTCTACTTCCGGGATGCCTTGAAAGTCGAAACAGACTTTGTGCTGTTAAAGCAAGAGAAGTAAGCAGAGTAAGCCTGATTCCCTGTAAAAACTTCTCTGTTGACATCCACCCCTTGGCGCTCATATGACCTTATGCAGTTGCGAGCGCTGTAAAACCTTTACTAAATATAAGAGGACGAGACTGTAACAGCCTTGATATGGAAAACAGCTGACAGAATCATTTTAACCATCGTGTTACAAGTATTCATATGACCTCTGGCCGTGCATGAGAATAACATTGAGTTACAGTCAGAATACTGAGCATGTATCTAGCTTTAAAAGATTATTGTTTATATTACTATTAATTTATATTATGGATGTGACTGTAAGCTTGCGTGTGTGTGCTTGTTTGTGAGTGTGTGTGTGTGTATGTGTGTGTGTGTACGTGGTGAAATACCAAACCAATGTGGATCTGGATAATAAAGATGTATCTTATCTTACTGTTTGAGGACTACATCCTGCAATGGATGAAAAATAAGAAGTGATCCTCCCTTAATTTTTCTCATAGTCAAAGACATTTGAAGATCATTCCTACAGTAAGTTGGTTGTGTTAGGAACATTGCAGCTCACGTGTAACTTTAATAATAGATAATAAATTGGACTTTTGTGTTCTATGTCCCTCCTTCATGTACTTGTTAAAAAGTACTTGTGGGTGTTTGAGGGGTGCTCTGGTGGGGTTTGCTCCTTCTTTCCTATGAAACATTTATTAACTTTATTTTTCCTCCACCTTTTCTCTGTACGTTACTCTCTAGTAACACCTCGAATCTTCTGGACTTATAACCTGTATGTGTTGCAAGTGCTGTAAAATGCTTACTTTAAAAAAAATTAATTAACAACTAAAAAATTGATCCGCCGTTATTTCATTTCATTATGCTACGACACATGTGTGCTTTGTCTACCGCTGCAGATTCCTCTAAGCCAGGGATGTCAAACTCAATCCCTCAGGTGACCAGACTCAAAATTTCACTTAAAGTTGTTAGCCAAACTAGACTAGAACACCCACTGAGCAGTGGAAAGGAGTGGTATGAATTGATTCTTGAAATAGAAAAAAAATTGGAATATTAGCAAAGCCTGGCATACGAAGTTTCGTTCTCATGCCAATTTGTCAATGCTGGATGTTTGGCATCTCTTCTTGGCAACGGGTTCATTTGCATTTGGAGTTAGGTTCTGTGTTGTGGAGATTCTCAGGACGGACTTCCTAAAATTCTTTTCTCTCACTGGCCGGATGTAATTGTTCGCGGGGTCGTGTGCAACCCGATGCTTTGATTTCGAACACCTGTGCCCTAGGCTGTTAATGACAGCGGATGGTTAATGGGTGTTGTGATGTGGTCGAGTTTTCTACTTGTTTGCAGTGTTGTTGTTATTGTGATCTGTTGAATATTGATGGCAAAATGTGGTTGCCACAGTGTTGGCCCCCGCCTGCTGCAGTTCTGACTTAAATTTTCAACAGGTAGTTCATCCCAGCAGCTCTGTTGCCTTTTGCTTGTGTCTGCTCATGCTTATTCTAGAATCTGAGTGACATTTTTTTTTTTACCCCCCGGGGCAGCGCCACTGACTGTAATGTCTTTAGGCCATTCCCAAAGGGGGGACATTTCTCGCTCTTGCGCAGTAGAATTATAAATGGGCTGGTTCATCATGTCACGCTCATAACTGTGCCTGATCTACAACAGGGAACTGCTGAAAAAAAAGACATTTTTTTCTCCTTCTTCGAGGCTGGTTTGTAGGTCCTACTTCTTGACCGTTGTCTGTTATTTCTGTATATCTGCCTTGCTTTTGTTCTGTGCACTAAATGACTGCCATCAAGTCTAACTGCTTTTTTATAAGGGCAAGAGAGTTTTTTTTAATTTTTATGCAACTGGTCCTTTATTTTTTATATTTTTGCTTGTATAACCTGTCTTTTTTTCCCCTTGTGTGACCTGCCTTTTTTTTTTTCTTCTGTAACCTTTTTTTGATTCCCTCTGTAACCTGCCTTTTTAAAATGTATTTTTTCTTCTGTATATGTAACTTATCTTTCATCCCATTTTCACAATATCCCATGTGATTTGTCCACAGATAATGCCATCCCCATCAAGTCGTGGTTCAGCGATGCCCGTGACACGGCCCTCCTCTGTCTCCTGCCCATGCTCGACGCCCTCCGCTTCTGTAACGACGTTCGTTCGGTGTTGGGGAGGAACCTACATTTATCACGGGCGTGGTAACGCCACCTGTGAGCTGTGTGGTCACAACTGTTTTAAAAAGACAAAAACAAACAAAAAAAATTACTTGATTTGCATCACACCACATTGCCCCTAGAGCCTTTTTTTTTTTCTTCTTTAATCATGTCATTATCAGTAGAACCTCACATTACTGTACCAGCACTAGATGGGTGTGCGTGTGATAGCGTGGATGCAGATACTGAAAATTGCGCACTTTTGTAAACGTAGGCTGTTACGCTAACCTTTTATAAAGGTTATTTTTTTTAGAATGCACGTGGGCCCCCCATCAGTAAGTGTGTGTATTATTTTTTTGGTGACTGATGATGGATAGTGGGGTGTAGTGGGCTAAAGCAATGCATGTGTTGTTGTTTTTTTTTATCGCACCCATGCACATGTGTTGTTGTTTTTAATTTGGGGGGGGGGGGGTCGGGGGTTGTTTTTTTTTTATCGGAAGATGCAAAGTATGCTCTGTTAGCTTGGTCATGCTTCTCACGCCACTGGCCCCGGTCTGTGAAACAGTCCTTGCCCGCCTCACCCAGCGTTGCCAAAAACATTTACTCTGGTTATTGACAGTACTTTGTCGCTCAGATCTTGTCTGCAATTTCTTTTGTTGCTTTTTTTTTTTTTTCACAGCATAGTACCAAATAGATTGGGGTGTTTTGTTTTTTCATTTTTTGGGGGTTTTTTGTCACTGAGATGAAATGATAACTTTCATGTATAAAAAGACACACACACCACCTCATTTTTCATCTGCATTTTTGGCAGGCTTTCTCTTTTTTTTAGTTGAAGGTTGGCTGTGCTTTTAAAAAAATTTTCATTCTCCAGGGATAAGATGTGAGAATGAATGTCAAGCAGAGATGTGTCTTGGTTGTGGTTGATGTCAGCTAACCAGATGGTCAGAAATTGTTAACTGTGGATATGGAATTTGCTTTGTTTAGATCTGTAACGCTTTGAGAGAAGAAATTTCATACGCATTTGAAATGACTCAGTGTTTAAATATGTGTGTATATGTTGGGGGGGGGGGGGCATGGAATCTGTGATGTTGTCAGCTCCCTCTTCTTCTTTTGAGTTTAGATAGTCTGTACTGTTAATGTGTAGTGGAATACATCCATTGTCTCGCTGGTGTTGGTAAAGGGCAGACATCTCAAGCATCTATTGTCCTTATCTCTTCTCTGTTTTCTCTTTCTATGTCACTCTTTCTGCGTTTCTCTTCAGAAAAAAATTTTTAATGTGCTGAAACAGTTTTGAAGACCCATTTTTAATTATTGAGGCAAAATGACAAAATCTGGTTGCTTTTTTTTCTTTCCTGTAGTCCGGGGGATATATGCCTGTCTTTAGCTGGCCACATTACAGTCCACATAGTAGATCTACTTGGCAGGGAGTGCATGTCGGTCTCTGTGATTAGGGCAATCATTATAACATTCTGTACGGGGCTGTCTGCTGATAAATCATCAGTTTGCGCAGCAGCTTTTCGCACTGTGAACCTTTTCACACATTCGCTGAAATGGGCTGCAGAATACTGCTGCACTGTCTTTTAAGACAGTATGTGTAAGGGATTTTTTTTTTTTCTACCCTAACAGGCTCTCAATACAATTATTGATTTAAAAAGGGTAATTCTAGTGCAGGCTGTTGGTTGTTGAGGGGGTGGGGGGGGGATATGTTTATTATATTCTATTGTCTTATGTGTTCCTTATTATCGACAAAGCGTCTGCTTGAAATGATGACAACATTGTAAAGTGAACCCCTCCCTTTTTTTATCTTTCATGACAATGATGGAAAAATAGATACAGGAACGACTTTTGCATTGTATATTTGTTTGGCAGGTTAAGTTATGTGATGGAGAGCCATTCCATCGGGTAGTGAAGAGAATCAATCAGTCTCATTCCAGTGGTGAACCCTGGTGACTCCTTTTTTTTTTTTCCCGCAATTTCGTTTTACACTCTTTCATTATAATCTTTTTTTTTTTTTTTTCAAATGAGTTTGTGTTGTTTTGTACGACCACTAGTCTTTTCATCATAAGTTAACCATGGGCCAAGCTGATATCAAAACTGTTCGGGGAAAGGAATTCTGTCTACAAGATTTTAGTGATGACTTGTGTTCAACAGTGCAGTTAGATATTTATCTTGTAGATACGCGCATTTGTTCGAAATGAAATAATGCGTAGATTGACAGTTGCTGGTAACATTTTTTGTCCATTTTTCACAGGCTGTGGTGGGGGGTTTTTTTTATTAGATAGACCTCAGACTGGTTTGTTTTTGTGGGGGGGGTTGGTTTTTCTTTTTTTTTCAGGTTGAAATTCAAATTATACATAGTGATAACCCAGGGGCAAGATTTATGATAAATTTTTGTTCACTGTCTCATAAAAAAAAAGCTTGGATTTAGTCATGCTGTTATTTTTGTCTTTCCCTGTGTCACACCGGTAGATGGTTGTTGAGCACTCTGTGTTGTTTTGCTCCTTCTGCTTCAGTCCAGTGTTTGTTAGCCAGATGTTAAAATGTGCAAAGCCCAACATTTTTTATTTTTTAAAAAGAATCGCAAGTTTCTTAATCTGTGGTGTCAGTTGCACATGCATGCTCAGAAAATAGTTTGTCTAAATTCAAATTTTAAATGTTGAAAAATAGGAGGGGAAAAAAATTGAGAAGGTGAATTGTCAGGAGAATGAAACAATTTCTCTCTCTCTCTCTCTCTCTCTCTCTCTCTCTCTCTCTCTCTCTCTCTCTCTCTCTCTCTCTTCATCTCTCTCTCTATCTATCTCCCTGTCTATCTCTCAATCTATGTCTGAGCTCATGCACTGAGAAGAAGGCCAAGAATCTCTCTATGGGCTTTGAATTAAAGTCTACCTAAAAATATCCTCCACCCTCTCTCTCTTTCTCTCTCCCTCTCTCTCTCTCTCTCTCTCTCTCTCTCTCTCT